TTAAACAACTGTTTTTCTGATGAGGTGATTTTGATTATTAGTTTCAAAAAGGAAAAAAAATGCTCAATCCAGCTACATGTAAATCAGAAGCAACAATCCCGTGTAATAACAATATTCCACACTGACTGCCTTAAAACCATAACAAATATAAGAAATATTAAGTTGAAATTCAAGGCAGCGAAATCAAACTTACGGCAGAGTGCTTCTTTTTCAGATTACATATATTTGCCTCTCTAGATAACTAATCTTTTTCTTTCTGAAAAGATTTTAATGCCTAGTTACCTGTTGCATTAAGACACTACTTAAGATTTCACGGGAAAGGCAGTCATAATCGAGTGTTAGTAGTGAGTGGGATATTTGATGTCAACATGCATTTCATCATCACCAAAGTTCATCCTACTTCCAAAGCCTGACACAAAAACAGAGGTGGACGTTGTAAACACACTACAAAACTAATAAATAGTACTACATTCCCTTACCAAGCGCTTGAAACGAAACTCTAGTAGCCAAACGAGGCGTTGCAGTCACAATCTTCTGCCCAAAATTCACCAACTTCTGCGCCATTTTGGATCTTCACCGGCAAAGAGTACCCAAGGTGCAGTGCAAACTCGGTCATGCGCAGTAGTGTAGTGTACACCACGTGCGTTAGTTGTGTTACTGAAAGTTTACGATGGGAAGACCAGGTAAATTTTCTTCTCTTCTTTGGTTTTTTTTATTGCAATTTGTCTGCGATTAAATTTATTTGAGTAAAATCAACGTTTTCAGGTTTTTCTCCGCGTGGCGGCCGAGGAGGAGGCGGTAGAGGAGGAGGAGGTCGAGGTTTGTAAACGTCACAAAATTAATATACCTTGCTGCTTTTACTTGTTTACTGCACGTTGCAGTAATTAAGCTTATATATCCGATCTCGATTCTCAATTTTCAGCCTCATCCACGACATTATAAATGATAATATCACTCTTATGATCCTTAGTTTGGATGTACAAGCGATGAAAACTTAGATATTGCACGTTACAGTAGACAATAAGCTAACAAAGACCTCGTTTATGACTGTCTTTACAACTTCATGAAGCTTGTAAAGTCGACTCATAAATCTTCAGTCTGTTGTCGTTAATTTGGAAAAGAACTTGAGCTGTTGATTAGATGCAAACAGAACTGTGAGCACCTAAGCTCACTCTAGCATCAGCGGTCAGGTGGTACGAAAAGTTATCTTCCAGGTTGACATAATGCCTGATTATGGATAAACTCTGTACCTGTTAGGCTATGTAGGCACGGGGGGGG